AGAAACATCTCTTTTTTTAAAAAGTGGGGAAAAAACCCAGAAATAAAAAATCCAATATTAACACCCATTACAGATTGAAAATAATTGTATAAGTTTATGAATCTGACATATGTGGTTTGGCATAACATCATTTTTAGTATATTAAAAGTATGATTTTGTCAGATAATAATTAAATACTAATTGAATTTTAAAATAACTATTGTTTGTATGTCTGTCTCCTGAGCATCTAAACTGTAAGGAACATGTGAACTGCAAGGTGCCCCTTGATTTTGCCAATTTATGATGAGCAGCCAAAAAGCAATAAGAACAGAGGAAATAATATTAGCAAAACAAAGACAATTTTTATTTTATTTAAAGTTTTTATATGCCATCCCAATACTAAAAATCTCTGGACAGCTTACAGAAACAGAAAATTATGTCTCTTCTAGTCCCCTTCCTTCTCCACAGTGTCAAGGAGGCATTATACATCATAAATTTATTTTTTATTAAATTTATATCCTGTTTTTTTCCTATAACAAACTCAGAGTGGCTTACATCATTCTCCTTATGCTCTCAATCTTATCCTCATAACAACAACCCTGTGAGGTAGATTGTGCTGAGTGTCTGTGACAGCCCCAAAGTCAATCAATTGGCTCCATGGCCAAGTGGGACCAGAACTGAGATCACCTGAGTCCCAGTCCTGTACTCTTAATCACCACAATGCACTGGCTCTAAAAAGAGTTGAGGAGCAAAATTGGGTGGGGTAGAGGTTGAATGAAAACTAAATGAAGATTTGTTGTTCAGTTGCAAAGTCATGCCTGACTCTTCATGATCCCATGGACAACATTCCTCCAGGTTCTCCTGTCCACCATCCTAGGAGTATGCCCAACCTCACACCCATCTCTCCAGTAACCCCATCCAGCCACCTCAACCTCTGCCATCCCTTTCTCTCTTTGCCTTCAGTTGTTCCCAGCATTAGGGTTTTTTTCCAACGAGTCCTTCCTTCTCATTGGATGGCCAAAGTATTTGAGCTTCTGCTTTAGTACCTGACCTTCTAAAGAGCAGACAGGGTTGACTAGTCGATTTGATCTCTTTGCAGTCCAAGGGACTCTCAGGAGTCTTCTCCAACACCACAATTCAAAAGCATCAGTTCTTCAGCGCTCAGCCTTCCTTATGGTCCAACTCTCACAGCCATACATTACAAATGGGAAAACCGTAGCTTTGACTACACAAACTTTTGTTGGCAGGGATTTGCCATAGACAGCATACTAGAAAGCAGATGCATGAAATTTAATCAATTTTATTTTCTGAGTCACTGATATCAATTTCAGTTTCTATTGCTTCTGCATTGTTGTATTCATCATAGTAATCATGCACTTTTAAAAACTAAAAGTTTACCCAGATTAACACAAATTTCTCTACGCTTGCACATGTTAGCTTATTTCTTGATTTGGTATATTTGGCTAGTTTTTTTTTGCATGCTATAGAATCTGAAGTATGTAGAAAACAAAAGGAGTCTTGCTGCTGTGTTATAGGAGTGTGTTTGGTAGAATCCCAGCCTGTATTCCTGGAGTATATCCTTGACAATATTCTGTATTCTGCAACATTTGAAAGTATTTTTTCAGCATCAAGTTGTAAGTGTACTGTCTGTTTTATAATCTAGTCGAACAGAGCAGCAGTGCTATCATCAGTTATCTTCTGTCTTTGAGTCTTGAATCCAAGAGTTGTAGCAGTACAAATTGGATGGCAACAAAATGATTCCCATGTCTTAATAAAATCTTTCACTTTACTTTTGTATTTGTAAGTAAAGATAAACTTCTATCTTGCCCATTAGAAAAGGAATTTTTCAGAGAAATGTAGTGCCTGATTCAGATGTAGCGATCACTGAAGAAATGGACTCTGCAGCTGAACCTGGAAGACATTTTCATCAGGTTCAGTGGATCTGCTGAGTGTTTTTTAAACAGTTGTTTGCAGTGTTTATTTACCTGAATATATTGTTGCTAATGGAAAAACTCTTTGTGATGAAGCTAGTGCTATAGGAGGAGCAGAATTGACTTCTGGAATCAAAACATTGGGAAGAGTTACTTGTACTTTCATCAATACTGTCATTCTCGCTCAGATCCATAATGGATGTTCACAGGACACTTTTTACATGATTCAAGGATATGCTATCCCTATAATTAATTTGATGGCATATGAAAATCACAGTTTTCTTTCCTCTGGAGAACATACAGTGCGGAAATGCCTTCATATGCTAGATTTTGATATAACCATTTTGCATGAGGAAGGGAAAGAAAAATATAATTTAGGGGCTAGCTTGCCTATAGATAATAAGCTACTAAGAGCTAAGCTACTCAGGAGATTTCAGCAAAGCATCAGATTAGTCAGAATTAAATTATGATTTACATAAGGGTTACGAAAATAAACTAATGCAGTTAAAATATGGCTCAGTTTTCTGAATTTTTACTTTTTGAATAAGTATAGCTTCTTTTCATTTGCTCTGTAGTTTCTCCTTTGAGGACTAGTCAAGAGGACAGAGACAGATATTCCAAGAAGAAGAAACTGAAACTTTCCTTCCTTTGTGACAATGGTAGTTCTCCCTAGAAGTGGAATGCATCTTGCTCTTGCATTTGAGAACTGTAATCACAGTTTACAACCTAAGACTCACTTGACCTTTCTGCACAAGAATTATAATGTTGCTTTCATGAGCTGGTCACCTCCCTCTTTCACTATTCTCAAACTGAAAAGAAAACCTCAGAAGCATAGCTCTTTATTGGAACTTGTCTGGTTAGAGTACAGTATAAATCAAACATACTATTAGAGTTGTGGGATAAGCATCTGATCATGCAAAGTGTTAGATTCAAACTTAAGCTTCTCCTCTGTCCCTTCCTTTCAGTAAAGCTGACTCACACTCAAGGTGGCCTTTGCTGCTTGAGAGCTAGATGGTGAGATCATCAGAGACCACCAAGGACCTTGTAATCGGGCTTCTTGTTTCTCCTGGTGTTGCCTGACTGGGTTGTGGAGTTCTTCCTGCATCTGCTCCCTTCTGACCCTGAAAAACCTTTACAAGGCAGGCAGAGTCTCATGCTGTCTCTGAGAAACTTCACTAAGTAACTTTGAGTCTCCACCTTGTCCTGCTCAGAATTGGATGAATCTATCTGTAAGGTGCAAGAGGTGCATTTCTTACTTTGTACATAGCCTTATATTGGCATATATTGCATATTTTTAATATCTTGGCTGAAACATTTTATTCATCATTCTGAAAGAAAATATTCCATAATCCAGTTCTTTTCTATTCTTCAGAGGACAAAAAAAGCAAAGGCTTCCAGAAAAGGGGGTTTTTCTTTTGCTTTTTCCAGACCTTCATATCTCTGAATATGGATACATCCACTTTTCATACTGTAAAAATTATGAGATAAGCTGATTCTCTTTTTCAAATATGTAACTCTTGTTTGCTTAAGTTTCATTTTTCTTACATTTTGTTAAGTTAGATATTTTTCTACCTTTCCTCAGTCTGTGTAATTGGAATTCTATCTCTTAAAGTCTTTAAAGACTTACTTGGCTACCCAGAGGCCTGAGAGGATTACCCATCTCAGGTATTTTTACAGGGTCATTTTTTTGGTTGTATGTTTTGGCTGTTTGATTTTTTAAAATGTTCCCTTTGATTTTAGAATATTTTATACTAGTTTTCTGTTTTTATGCATTGTTGTGAATAGCCTAGATAGTTTCAACTATAGAAAAGGAAATAAATCAATGGCTAATCAAATAAACATCTCTCATGTTTGTAACAGAAAGCCAACAGGAATTCCTCACTACCCTAGCCAGCTGGGCCACATCCTCCCCAGAAGGTTACTGCTTCCAGCACCCTGGACCAGCCGCTGGATTCAGCACACAACAAATCCAAGCTTGGGGAAACATACATTTTGATTAAAAGGCTAAACTGTAGGGTAGGAGAGACTAAAACACAGAATCTGAAATGCATAAAAACAGGAAAGAGGGGTAAAGGAGAATTGGACAGCAGCAATAAGACATTTTATAGCCTACCAAGAACATTTGCTCCCAGGGCCTTGCTGGACAACAAAATAAACAGCTTCTATCCTAGCCTATACACAGTAATTTTACTTTCTAAGGGCACAGGATACACATGATGCTACAGCACTCTTCATGAAGAAGTGGCAGCAGAAGTGGAACCTCCCAAGAGAGGAACAAAAGGCTGCTCAGTTCTGGCTTTATCTTCCCCACCCTCCCAGGCCAGCTCAGTTGACTGTGGGGTGATGGCCCATCTCCCAGTCCCTGAGGCCAGCCATTAATTCCAAGTGCCAGTTACCAGCCATCACTTGTTATCTTTGACATCCTTGAGGTCAGTTCTGATAGTTCTCACCTCCTTAACACAGAAGAGAGGGCGATATCTCTCAAAGGCCTGGGGTGCCAGATTCCTCCGAGGAATATCTTCTAGTGATATTTTGTTAGTTCCTGTGTTAACCTTTCTTCGGAACTCTGGAGTCTGAAAAGTTGGTTCATGTCACAAAGTTGTACTAGATGGTCCTCTTTTAAAGGAGCAATCCTATGGCACTATTGGAGAGGCCATAGGATGCTTCAGAATCCAGTTCCAAAGAAAGAGAATTGGAGCTTTGTTCCTTTTAGCCAGTGTGGAAAAAACTGTATTGGTTGCTCTTCAGAGTTCAAAACGTGGTTTCAGAGAGGGATAAAAGGGATTGTTTTGTGAGTAGGGGACAGAGATTGGAGAAGCTGAGATGCAAGTTATGCCAGTTAGATTCCAGTGTGGTAGCTCTATTAGTCTGTTGCAAGAAATGCATATAAAAATAAGAGTCCTTTATTACTTTAAAAGTAAATAGATGTATTATGCCTGATGTTTTTGAGGACAAAACTTTTTGCTCATAAATTTGTTAAAGCCTTGTGGCAACTTATAAAGACTGTTTTCTGCAGTATATTTAAATTACCTTTCTACAGCAGTGATTATCTCTTTTTCTTGGCTAACCACCATTCTGTTTTCTTCCCAGTAACTATAGATCTGACTGGAAATGGCTAGTAGACAGAGCTAAAATTGGCTGTCGCTGGACATGGCTTCAAGCCCAGATTTCAGAGCTAGAATACAAAATCCAGCAACTCACAGATCTTCACAGACAGATCCGTGCCACCAAGGTCAGTGAAGAGGGGGGAAGGTTACTTTAAAATTAATGAAAGATTAAGTTCTATGAGTCCTAGTATTTAAAGAAAAAATAATTAAAGTTTATAAAAATAAAAGGCTTGTGTGAAAAACTAAAAGATTGGATAAAGATTGAATGTAAGAAACGTTGATTCCAAATTCTTAAAGTTTATCAGAACTCCTTAGGTGCCATCTCTCTGTTTAATTGACTCTTCTGAGAACTCTTCTGAGAAAGGCTGGAATACCTATTTTTCTTTTGCTCATGAAGCCTCACCGTGACACTAGAGAGGTAGAGACAGGTAGAAAGAAGAATTTCTCTTATGGTTTGCTGGCTGGGTGGGTATTTTGAAAGCCAGGAAGGTTGTGTAAATTAGAAAGTAAAACTGAAAACATTGGCTCCAAGTCTTTAAAGTGTAGTGAACAAGCAAACAATTTTGAGTGGCACTTCTTAAACTTGGTGATGATCAACTTCCTAAAGTCAAGTGAAAAGTTGTTTGTGTTTCCTCAGACAAGGAGTGAAATGCCTAGAAGGGATAAGGACCTTATTTACAGAGAATTGTGCACAACAATCATAGCCTAGCTTCAAAAATGTTGTCTTTTGGCAAGTTTAAATTATCTTGGGTGTAAATTTCATAACCTGGGTGCTGCCACAGGAATGGCTGTGCCTTAAAAGTCCCCCCATCAGAATCTGTTTAGGTGTTGGACAAAAAGCAGGACTTCCTAACAGTGACTATATCTTGTGTCCCTTTGTTTTGTTTAAGAATAATCCTAATCCTATTATTACTTGTTTTGGAGCATATAGAATGTTAAATACTTAGGCATAAAGAATTATCCCATGGAATACCTTGTGTTCTTTTGTATCAATGAAAATGTTTTAAAAGTTTCATCTCAGTCGTACTTAGTTCCTCATATATGAAGCTTTATATACAGTGTCTTGCAGAAATAGTCACCCTTGTTTGACTTTTCTCTATTTTGTATAAAGCTAACTTCTTGGAGAAATCAAAGTTGTAGCTCTCCTGTAATGTAGGAATATCAACCTACTCACACATTTGCAGCTTTAAGTCATGTAGCTCACACATTTGCACGTTTAAGTCACTAATCAAAGCATTCAGAAAGCTTAAGCGGTACTTTCCAGGGATTACAGTCACCCTACTGTGATTTGGGCAAGTTAATTTGTTGTTGACCAATTGTGCTCAATTCCTGTTGTCTAGGGAATGGTGATCTTAGAAGAATTTTCAATTCCAAAGGATGTTTTGAAGAAGCAAGCACAATTGACAAACCAAGAAGGTTTATTAAACACCACAGGGAATTCTCAAGCTCCTTTTGAGAGGCAGGATGCTTGGCCGGAGCATGATTTTGAAACATCACCCAGCAGTCCAACTCTGCTTCTTCGTAACATTGAAAAACAGGTATTCAAGTGAGAATGAACGTCAGATAGAATTATGCTATTTAGTAATTCAATAATATAAGTTTAAAAATAAAATTTCTGTAAGATGATCCACATTAAGTTGTGGGAATGAGAAAATTGCTGGGTTTGTACCTTATGGAAATAAACTTTACTGTGCTTTCTCAAATCTTTCTTGGCACTAATTTAACTAGTAGATAGAGTGAGGGACTAGGATAAACTGGAATTTGAATGGCAACACTACTTGTGATTTTTCTTTGTGAAAATCCTTTGGCTGACTGCTTTATAGGTCAAGACACCAGGGCCCATTCGACATATGCTGTTTTGAGAGATTTACCTCTTTTTACTTCCTCAGATCTGAGTGGGCATAAAGTGTTCACTGATGTTGGCACTGGTAGCCGATGTAAGCACTCCCTTTCACTGTCATTGTTCCATTTTGTGGTCAGCTGCTGTGGGATTGAACAGGGTAGGAACAGAATGTGAAGTCATCCCTATCTGCTATCCCCTAGTAACAAAGGTACAACAGCTTTTATTGAACAGGGCCAGAGATCAAGTGTAGTCTGGAAAAAAGCTAGTTATTCCTGCCGAGCTATTGTGAATTTGTAGTTGCATTATAGGCATGTGGGTAGCAGTTGTGGTGGTTCTCATGGCTCTTGTCTTCATGCAGCATATGTCTTCATCTGTTACATAATTTTTGTGAATTTCCTTGAATTCCTTGCTAAATGGCAAATATAAACATGTTAAATAAATAAATGTATGCCACAGAGCTTGCAAAGTCATAGGAACCTATTTGGAACAAGTAGGCTAACAACTCCGCAAGGGAGCAGTTGGAAGTGCTCTGATTACTCTTGCAGGTTGTGGGGTAGATCTCTCTTATGTTCTATGCATATAGAAAATGCCATTCGGCATATAGAAAATTCTGTCATCTTCACCTGTTGCATGGCTGCCTGTGGAAGGCAGTGGAGGATACATGCTCAGTGGTTGACAGCAATAACAATCTGGAACTGGAGTGAGTGTTTATGAGGATGTGGTACAGAAAAGGAGTGCCATCTGTGCTGTTGTGGTACTCTTGGCTCAGCATCTCTCCCACTGTATTGGCTGCTTACTCCTTTCCTTGTAAAAAGCTACAATAGAACTCTGGGTATACAGTGACTGTTCCATATGGCCATTCACCAGTGAAGAGGTAACCTATAAATGGGAGTGCATGCTTACCCTTACATCCCCTGACACTGTTCCCATTGTCTGGGTGGAAGGATTTTTGCTATTATGGTTTAGCCAAGTTACAGTTCTCCCAGACAGCAAGGGCTGGGTTATGTTTTGTATTTTCACTGTGTATGTTTTTATTGCACTCTTGTTGTAGAAGTGGAGCATAGATTAGGGTTGCATTTGGCATTCTGGGACAAAGTACTCTTTTTTTTTTTTTTTTTTGAATAAGTGTTAACAGACCTAACAAAAAAAGAACTAAAAAGTCATCAATCATCCAAAAACATCAGACCTACTGGGTCAGCCCCCCACGTTTTTTTCTTTTTATGTTAAACTATAAACATATTTTGATCTATGAATAATCCCGTTTCTCTAGCCAATAATAAAAAGAGTCCCAGGTCTGAGAGAAGTCTGTATCTTCTTTCTCCTTCAGAGACAAAGTTAATCTTTCCATTTTGGCACAGTCCAAGATCTTTTTTTAGAATCAGTTCGTCGGTAGGTGACTCTTCACTCTTCCAATGTTGGGCAAATGCAATCCTCGCTGCAGTAGTTACATGTAGGATCAGATACATTGCTAGTTTACCAACATCATCAGGTACAATGCCTAATAAGAAAACTTCAGGTTTAAATGTTAAAGGTTTTTGTAACATTTCCTCAAGCCATTTGTGTATTTTAATTCAATACTTTCTTGCCTTATCACAGGTCCACCACATCTGATAAAAAGTACCCGGTTTGTGTTTACATTTCCAACATCCATTTGACATATTTGGAAACATCTTAGCTAACCTATTTGGTGACAAATACTATCTATAAAACATTTTATATAGGTTTTCTTTGTATGAGGTTGCTAATGTTACTTTAATATTTCTATCCCACAGCTTTTGCCATTTCACTAACTCAATATTATATCCAAAATTTTGTCCCCACGTTATCATAGTTTCCTTAACCTGTTCATCTTCCATTCTCCTATCCAGGAGAAAGTTATACAATCTTTTAATCATTTTCTCATCTGATTTAAGAATCACATGGTCAGATGCTGTTAACTCCTTATAAAAGTCCCACATTCTATAGTCTTTAGCATATCTCGATTGCATTTGAACCTTCTGACACCAAGAAATATTAATTCCTTGTTCTTGTATTTCTTGATTCAATTTCAATCCTCCCTCAGTATCCAAGATTTCGTCATATATTAAGATCGCTTTACAGTTCAGTGCATTTGGATATACAAGAGCTTCCATAGGCGAAAGCCATCTTGGTAATTTAGTATACAGTTTTATCTTTAACTTTTCCCACACCAACATTAATGATTATATTTCCTAATATAATGATTTAAGAAACAACCATGTACCTTACACTTTTCATACCACATATAAGTGTGCCAACCCATTTGTAAATCATGCCCTTCAAGATACAAAATTCTCTTATTTCTTAAAGTTATCCATTCTTTTAGCCATGCTAAGACAGAAGCTTGATAATATAACATCCAATCAGGAAGACCAAAACCCCATTCCCTTTAGCCTCCTGGAGCATTTTTAATTTAATCCTTGGTTTCTTCTTTTTCCATATAAATCTCGAGATATGGGTATTTAAATTGTCAAAGAATTTTTTGTCAATTTTTATGGGAATCATTTGGAATAAAAACAAAAGCTTTGGTAATATATTCATTTTAACCAGTGCTATTCTTCCCAACAAGGATAATTGCAAATTAGCCCATTTTTCCAAGTCACTCTTAATTTCCTTAAATAGTTTATCATAATTATCTTCTTTCAGTGTAGTGCATTTAGCTGTAAGGAAAATTCCCAAATATTTAACCTTTTTCACAATTTGAAGATCTACTTGTTCCACCAGAGTTTTTCTCTGCTGCAATGTAAGATTTTTTACTAACAATTTTGTCTTGTCTCTGTTTATTTTCATCCCAGTAACATTGCCATATTCTTCAATCCTTTGTAAAAGTTTGGACTTCGTTACCAAGGGTTCCTCAATAATAAAAACTAAGTTGTCTGCAAATGCTTGCAGTTTATAGCTTTCACCTCTAATTCTAGTACTTTTAATATCCATATCATCTCTGGTATTTATATTTAACACTTCTAAGATCAATATAAACAGCAATGGTGATAAAGGACATCCTTGTCTTGTGCCCTTTTATATGTCTGTAGTGTTTGTAAATTCTCCATTAATTATAATTCTAGCAGACTGTCTTTGCTAGATGCTTAATATCGCATTAATAAACTTTTCACCAAACTCCATTTGAGCTAGCTGTTGCTTCATAAATTGCCAATTGACATTGTCAAAGGCCTTCTGTGCATCCATAAATAATAACACCATTGATTTTTCAGAGTGTGCCTCATAATACTCTAAAATGTCCAAGATGATTCTCATGTTATTCCTCATTTGTCTTTTAGGTAAAAAGCCATTCTGGTTTGGATGTATGAAGTCCGTTAAATACTTCTTTAGTCTTTCTGCCATTACAGAGGCAAAAATTTTGTAATCCACATTTAATAGTGATAGAGGTCTATAGTTCTGGATCTGTGTCAAGTCTGTATCTTCTTTCGGTATTAATGTAATATTTGCCTCTGTCCAAGTATTTGGTATTTTAGCATCTAGCAATGCCGCATTACATACATCCTTAGGCATAGACAGGATTCCTTCAAAAATTTTATAGAACTCTGCTGGTAATCCATCCAGGCTTTTATCATTCTTTTGTCTCTTAATTGCCTCAGTTACTTCTGTCATTGTTACTTCTTCATTTAATGCTTTTTGGTATTTCTCCGGTAGCTTTGGTAGATTTCCCTTTTGGATATATTCGTTAACTTTCTCAGTTGAGGTCTCTTTATTCTGGTACAGCTTTGCAAAGAACTCTTCCGCTATTTTCTTAATTTGTGTACTTTGTACTTGCAGTCATCCTTTTCCATCCTTCAATTTATATATTAGTCTCTTCTCTCTTTCCTTCTTTACTTTATAAGCTAACCATCTCCCTGGTTTATTAGCATTTTCGAAAAAATTCTGTTTAGTCAATTTCATTTGCTTGGTAAGTTCATTTGTATCCAAGAGGTTCAGTTTGTGTTTTAGAATATTCATTTGTGCCTTAAAGTCTTTTTGGATGGATTTTCCTGTAGCTCCTGTTCAAGCTTCATCAATTCGTCTACTAATTTAGATCGTTCCTGCTTTCTCATTTTATTTATTTTTGCTGATGATGTTATTATCAGCCCTCTGACATAGGCTTTAGCTGTATTTGCAGAGGTTTCTTCAATTTTTTTGATTTGAAAAAATAGTTCTATTTCCTTGTTTATCTCTTCTTTAAACTTTTTATCTTTTAATAAGACTTTGTTTAACACCCATCTGGGTGTTTTTACTGTCCCTTTCAATGTCATAGCTACAGGATTATGATCTGCCCAGACATTTGACTCTATTTCAGCTTTTAATAGATCTGGTACTAAGTCTGGGGTTATCCAAATCATATCAATTCTGGACCACGACCTATGTCTATTCGAGTAGAAAGTATACTTAGCAGAGGTTGGGTTTTTATGTCTCCAAGCGTCTGTCAATCTAAATTCTTCAATTATATTAAAGCAAGACTTTGGAAGTATCCTCCTACCTTTTTTCTCCTTAGTCTCACTTGTATGGTCCATTTTTTTGTCCACAATTGCGTTGAAGTCTCCCATTAAGCACAAAGTCTGATAATCCAGTTGCGAGAGTAAAGTATGTAGTTTTTGGTAGAACATCACCTGGTGATCATTTGGGGCGTAGATCGCCACCAAAAGCACCTTTTTAAATTTCATTGTAACTTCAACCATCAGAATCCTACCGTCTTCGTCAGCTAGCGTATATTTGGGGTCTAATTTTTCCTTGATGTATAATGCTAAACCTCTTTTCTTTTGAGGAACAGAGGATGTAAATAGCTTTCCAAGCTTTGGGCATTCCAAGAGCTTATTATGTTGTTTCTTAATGTGTGTTTCTTGTAGACAAATTATATCTAGCTTCAGTTTTTGGAGTTGAGAGAAGGTTCTTCTCCTCTTAAAGGGTGGGACAAAGTACTCTTAAGGTACACGCCACATGGCCTTTCCCAAGGGGAAGAGCAATTTGAGAAATCAGCCATTTGTGTAGCACTACTTAAACATCCTTGAGGTGCTTCTGAGGAACAGTGTCCATTCTATACACACGTGTATACCTTTCATGCTTTGGACCAGGAAAGGCCAACAAGTCGTGGGTTTTTTCTGAGCAGTTCAGCCCTGCATACTCAAGTATTTTTGCTACATAGATGTTCAACAGCCCTTAGCCCATGTGGAGCTAGGAAAATAGTGAGGATCACAGTGTAACTGCTGGGATCATCTCTGTGCACTTAGAAGAAAGGCTGTTTGGTTATCACTCTATGGTGAATGGAATTGTTGAAGCATTTGCTGCACTGTGATTGGGTGGAAAGTTACTTTAGATCAGGGGTCCTCAAACTTTCAAACAGGTGGCCAGTTCACTGTCCCTCAGACTGTTGTGGGGGCGGTCTATAGTTTGAAAAAAATATGAACAAATTCCTATGCACACTGCACATTAAAATCAATTAAAATTAAATTTTATTTCTTTATTTAGATTATTTTTATGCCGTCCTGTCACGAAGGCCTCAGGACAGCTTACATACATAAAATAATATAAAACATAACACAAATAAATTACAGATCCACACTGGCTGCAGTTAAAAACATATATAAACCAATATTAAAAGTTATTAAAATATTGTTGGAATAAAAAGGTCTTGACCTGGTGCCGAAAAACAAATAACAACGGCACCAGGCGGACCTCTCTGGGCAGCGCATTCCATAGGTGGGGCGCCACCACAGAGAAAGCACTCCTCCGGGTACTTTGCCTCCTAATATCTTTCACAGAGGGTTTTTGGAGGAGGGCTTCTGCTGCCGATCTCAAGGAGTGGGAGGGCAAATATGGAAGAAGGCGTTCCTTTAGGTAGAAGTCATTCCTTTATTAAATTAAAAATTAATTAAAATTAAAAAATAATTGAAAAAATTTAAAATGTTTGCTCCACTCCCTCGGGCTGCAGCAGAAGCCCAAGATGTGGCAGGGAAGAGCATGTCCATAGTCAATGGGCGTAGCTACAACACAACAAAGGCACTAAATATAGTATTTTGCATAATGCAGCTGATGACTGCAGCTGGCATTTAAAAGAATGAAGCAAAAATACTAAGGATAAATACTTTTAATGCCACTCTTAGTATTTGAAGCAAGGCAGCCCAGAACAATTCCCACAATACACAATGGCTGTATATGGATGCAGAGCTAATATTACCATATTTAAGTGCAACCTTGCCAAAACTGGTACTGTCCAGATGAGTTGGACTACAACCTCCATTGGCCATGCTGGTTGGGCATCATGAAACTATAGTCCTCGCCATCACCCCGGTTCCGAGGGAGCGGGAGGCCGGAGAGGAGAACGCGGGGTGGCTCCCCTGTCCAGGAGAGGGCCACAAGGAGGGTGGTAAGGGCTGCTTTCTGAGGCGAGGGGAGGTGAGGGATGGGGCCACGGCTGGCCAAACAGGGCGCCTCCTGTCTCCCCCCCTCCCCACAGAGGGAAGCATAGTAGCTGCTCGACAGCGGTGGCTTGCCCAGTGAAGGCCGTGGCCCCACTCCATCTCAGCCTGTCTGCCCCCGGGCTTTGCAAGGCAGCTGCAGCTTGGCCCGCACGCCAGGGACATGGCTCACATACTTAAAAATAGATATTAAAAGTTATATTTTTCTTACCTTTTTTAGTGTCTTCATCTCTCTCTCTCTCCCACCCTCCTCTCTTCTGTATTCCTGCTCCATATTCCCACTCTGTATTCAGAGCCAATGCATGCATGCAGTAGGGGGGAAGAGCCAGCGCACGTGCAGTTGAAGGGAGGTGTTACAATTTGGTGTGTGCACCGGCTCTCTTCTAGTCTCCAAAACTTAAAAGAGCTTCAGAGAACACATGCACTGGCTGAGAGCTTTCGGGCTCAATCGGAGATCATTTTCTCCAAACAAGTCCGAGGCGGGCCAGGTAAATGACAATGGCAGGCCATGTCCGGCCCGTGGGCCATAGTTTGAGGACCCATGCTTTAGATCCTCAGTTGCATTTTGGCAAGGTGAGGGGAGTTGAGGGGTTGTATGTGCACATGCAAAAAAGAAAGGTACTCAATTTCTGTTGAGTTCAGGTAGCTTTTGTGAAACCAGTGAAGGATTATCTTGGCTTTGGGGGTAGGATCAGGATCTGAGATGAATTTGGCATATATCTGTTCTTTTACTGGTATACCCAGTCAAGTTCTTTAGACTGACATTTACTGTGTATTAAATGAAGGATTGTTCTTTTCTTTACTGTTCCTTGCAGAGTGCTCAGCTGAGTGAAATAATCAGCAGTCTGATTGCTCCTCTTAACCTGTCTCCCACATCCTCTCCTCTCTTTTCAAAGTCTTATAAGCAGAAAGAGTTGGTAAATGGAATCTCTGGAAGGTATGTAGTTCTCAAGTACTTCAGGATAATTTTTTAGCTTTATTGTTTTGGAAATTGTAATATAAAACAACAGCACTATTTTGATATTTAATATTTTTAATTCTTGTTTCCCAGTATTTTAGTACTTTAAGCTTGCAATCCTACACTCACTTAATTGGGAATAAAACCTGCTGAATTCACTGGGCCATTTCATATGGTCAAACAAGCTACAGTGACTTACTTAAATCACTGGGGGATACTGAGCACTGTTAGCCTAATTATGTGCCTGGATGAGGCTTATTGCGTCATTTGAACCAGAAGGCATGGCTTGTTTGAGGGGGAACAATCTACAAATACCCTGTTGCTTATTGTTTGGCTGTTGGGCCAATTATAAACAGATACATACTGAGAAAAATTTTAGGGCTCATAAATATTTGTCATATAATCCTGGGTATAATTACTGCTCTTGAAATAAAAATCACATAAAATTACTGTGTGAAGAGTTTGACTGTAGTGCATATTGTTTATGTCCTGGGGTATTGCTTGGTGCATTTCAGAGAGTCGAGGAATAATGAAGAAATGTCATCTTCCAGTTGGGTGATTGACCAACAGCACCTGAAGAAAAGAAGAAAAGACAAGATGAAGCTGAAAACATCAGCTGTTGCTATGATAAGTACATCTGCTCGGACTAGACCACTTCACAGTTTCCAAAGGAGAAAACTGTACAAAATGAGCTCTGCTTTCAGTTCATACCAACAGGTGCTAATGTTTTTTTTACTCTGTTTCTTTGAGAAACTGTGTTAAGATTGCATCTGTCATGTATGGCAGTGGCACTTCTGTGTGCAGCAATTTTTGTTACCTTGTTAGAAAAAGTTCTGCCAAATACTTAGACAGCTTAGAGCATGGGTCCTCAAACTATGATCTCCGAGCGAGTCCAAAAGCTCTGAGCCGACACAGCCATTCTCTGAAACTGAGCAGAGCCAGCGCATGCACCAAATTGTAACAGCTCAACTGCGCTTGCGCTGGCTCCCCCCCCCCCCCATTGCACACATATACAGAGCGGGAATACGGAGCAGGAAGCAGAAGAGAGAGAGATAAAGACACTAAAATGGATGGGAGGTAAGAAAAATATAACTGTTTAAATCCATTTTTAAGTATGTGAGCCATGTCCCCAGGCTGTGGGCCAAGCTACAGCCGCCTTGCCGAGCCTGGGGGCAGCCGCTGGATGGCTGGGGCGCAGGAGACATGGCCTTCTCTGAGCAAGCCACTGCTGCTGTCAAACGGCTGCCCCAGGCTTGGCAAGGCAGCAGCAGCTTGCCCAGAGAAGGCCAGGGTGAAGGCGCAGGAGCGATGGCCTTCCATGGGCAAGCCACTGCCGTCGTTGAGTGCCTGCCCCTGGGCTCAGTGAGGTGGCTGCGGCTTGGCCAGAGAAGGCCATGGCAGAGGCACAGGAGCAATGGCCTTCTGTGGGCAAGTGGGAGGCACCCGGCTTGGCCAGCTGCGGCCCTCTCCTGGCCGGGGGAGCTGCCCTGTGCTCGCCTCTCCAGCCTCCCACTCCCTCAGAACCGGGGTGCTGGCGAGGACTATAATTTCATGATGCCCAACAAGCATGGCCAATGGAAGTTTTAGTCCAACTCATCTGGACAGTACCAGTTTTGGCAAGGTTGCACTTAAGTATATGGTAGTATTAGCTCTGCATCCATATACAGCCATTGTGTATTGTGGGAATTGTTCTGGGCTGCCTTGCTTCAAATACTAAGAGTGGCATTAAAAGTATTTATCCTTAGTATTTTTGCTTCGTTCTTTATAAATGCCAGTTGCAGTCATCAGCTGCATTATTGTCATGCCTGACGCCCCGACAGAGGCAGCACCTCACAGGGAAAAGTCAAACACCCAAAGAGAGAATCAAACATCAGAACAGGAGGATTTATACCTGAGACCCTGTGGCCAAATGTCCCTTCTACAACCTGGCTTGGGAATAGCTGAACAGATAGCCATCCCTCATCCTGACCCTTTATCCATTGGGCAAACAGCCGAGCCTCTGTCAGACCACGAGGGCCCCGAGGGAAAAGGCACTGTAAGTTCTGCTCATGGAGAGCTTGGGCAGGCTGCCCCACTTCCTCCTGACGTTGAACCTCCTGGACATGACACAGGAGACACAAGAGGCGGGGTAGATTTGTCCTGAGTGACTCTTAGACATTCTCTACGCAGATTGGAGCAGAAGGAAGCTTTGTCCCGCCTCGGGGGAAAGGTGGGACGAAGAAAGCTAGTCCCACTTGGGTTCCCTGAGGGACGTCACTAAGGAATTAGCAACTGCCTTGTAAAGACCATTGTGGTAGAGCTTATCTGTAGCGTTATAAATCTTGTAGATAAGTAGCAATAAAAGGCTTTAGTTTTATTGCCTGCGAAAGTGTGGGTTGTTTATATTGTGAGCCGTCACCTCACAACAATTATGCAGAAGACCATACCTTGGTTGTGTTGTAGCTATGTCCCTTGATACCTAAAGGAATGCCTTTTTCCCTATTTGCCCTCCCACCCCCTGAGATCGGCAGCAGAAGCCCTCCTCCAGGAACCCTCTGTGAAAGATATTAGGAGACAGAGTACCCAGAGGAGGGCCTTCTCTGCGGTGGCGCCCCGTCTGGAATGCGCTCCCCAGAGAGGTCCGCCTGGTGCCATCATTATATGTTTTTCGGCACCAGGTTAAGACCTTTTTATTTAATCAATATTTTAACAAGTTTTAATATTGAATTTTAGTACTATATTTTAATTGCAGCCAGAGTGGGTCATTAGTTTGTTAATGTTATACTGTTATGTATTGAATTTTATTTGTGTGAGCCGTCCTGAGGTTCCCACAAAGGACGGCATACAAATATTCATTCTCTCTCTCTCTCTCTCTCTCTCTCTCACACACACACACACACACACACTCTCTCTCTCTCTCTCTCTCTCTCTCTCTCTCTCTCTCTCTCTATATATATATATATATATATATATATATATATGGACATGCTCTTTCCCACCTCATCTTGGGCTTCTGCTGCCGCCCAAGGGAGTGGAGCAAACATTTTTTATTTTTTTAAATTAATTTTTAATTAATTTTAATTAATTTTTTAATATACAGTGTGCATAGGAATTCATTCATAGTGTTTTCGAACTATAGTCCAGCCCCCCAACAGTCTGAGGGACAGTGAACTGGCCCCCTGATTAAAAAGTTTGAGATCCCCCTGGCTTAGAGGAAAGGGTATGTGATATAGATCAAGAATTAAGGGGAACTCTCAAGGGAACATAAACTACAAGGAATTATTCTCCACATTAGGAGAGAATTGTCTAATTGCCAGCTGTTTTCGCAGTCATAGTAAAAGGTCTTAAAAATTAGGAAGATGGTTTATTATTTAAGGAGTCCTGTTTTTAATTTTTTAAATTAAAATTCCAGTATGCTCAGAATAAGTAAACGTTCCTCCAAAAATCATTGTGTCTGGTCTCAGAAGAAGTGCAGGCAATTAAATCTGCCTTTTTATATCTGTTTTTCTTTGAAAAACTCCATGGGGCATTTTTACCCTGTACTTTCCCCTAGGGACTTTGTTGGCTGCTGTGCAGGTGACATATTTTATGGTCTTCCCTCATATAAATTCTTCCAGGAGAAGTGCACTCACAATAGGATTTTTCCTGCAGTGCATGATATAAAGTATGAAATTACATATCTTCACTGAACTTAATGTGTTCTTCATATATGAGTTTATTAGAAGTAAGACGTAAAACTAATACTCGTTCAAAAGCTCTATCAAATTAATGCATTGTTCTATTTGCTTTTATTTAACAACCTAGGAAAGGGGAAAGAAACAAGAAAGTTTTTAATAGAACACTTGCCTCAGAGGAAACATGTTACAATATAAATCCACTGTCTGTTTTTGGTGTATGTGTTTAATTGAAAAAGCTTACACACCTGGTTGTACTCAGTTTAAAGGAAATTGAAAAGCTATTTTTAACCCCCCCTCCTAGTTCCAAGTTAGTTTCATAATCTTAATAGTGTCTTAGTTTGTGCTGTATTAAACTATACATAGGATAAAATAGCTATGAAGTACTTAAGTACTTGAACTGAGCTAAATACTTAAATTTAGAAAAAATGTTTCCACCTCATTTTGGTACAAAATACCCTTAAATAACAGCATTGAAAGAACCTTTAAGTGTGATGCACATAGCCAAAGGAATAAAAATTTAGGATTAAGGATTTCAGTAGTATTTGATTAGTCCATTTCTCATTTGGCAAGATGATCACAACATGATATATGAAAAAGTTTTCTAAGTAACATACTGAGGCTGTGGCACATGGAAGAGATGTATTTAAATGCTGTTCCCCAAGATAGTGATTGCCCATTGGAAAAGGGTGTTTTCTGATAACCACAAGGTAACCTCAAATTAGCATACTATACACTTCATTTTAAAACTCATCTCTGAGAGAGTTCCCAGAATTTTCCTCAAGTTTATCACATGCAGGTACATTTTTTCCTTTTGTGTGCTGCAAGTGCTCTCCATGGTGAAATTATTTTGTAATTACTAAGTTACTTGGGTTGTTACTTTCCCTGGTATGTTTGATAGTTTTCCCTGTGTATACACAAGATGATGGATTGATCCACAGATTCATATATACTGATTGCCCTGGACTTGATTTGCAAATGAATTTTTGAAGCCCTGATAGAGAAGATACAAATAACTTTCTTTGCATGGTTTTATTTTTGATAGCTTATTCATATGTACACATGAGGGTTTTGTTTAAATAAGGACCTTTCTCAATTCATACCAATAGATAAAATTAAGAATGATGGGGCTAGAACTGTGGTGGGCAATTTTTTCCCTTCCAAGTGATGCATGCACTGGTGGGTTGGAGAGGCCCATGCCAGCAGTGGGCACAGCTGAAAGCAGTGGCGGCAGGGGCTAGGCTCTTTCCCTTCCTCCTTCATGCCCTTCCCCCACTCCTTGAGTGTGGAGATAAGAAGTTTTACATTTACCCTCCTTGCACATTGAAACCCATCATTACCACTCTCATTGTCCAATCAGTGTTGCTCAGCTGTTCCTGCTTATCAGCAGGAAGTGGGAGGTAAATGATCGGATTTGGTGAGCTTGCTGTTTCTGTCTCCTCCTTAATGGGTAGCTCATTAGCTTTGGAAACAGATGCAGAGAACACTGATTGGCACTTTATTTCCACATTTTGGAAAGGACCTGTAGGTAACCGCACTGGACAAGGGTTGAATGTAGCATGTGGGCTGTGAAAGTTTTAATGGTGTCAGTTCTTCAGGAGGTTTCTCTACTGTAGGGGATATGTCTCTAGGCATATGCCATTTAGGGCATGCACACTAAATGGGACTCCCATATAAGTGAGGGAAGGACAAGTACCAGTCCACCACTAAAGCATTAGAATTTTCCAAAACTAGCTCTTTCTGGGTATAGATTCCTTTAATGAAACTGCAGAGATGACCAAATAAAGAACTCCAGTTATAGGTAAGCCACCCTTCCTTAGCTGAAACTTCTGGGCTCAGAGTACAAAACTGGAACAAAATTTTTTGGGAATCATAGTACAAAGTTACTGTATTATTTAATCTTACTTATTAAAGTATTTGTTTGATACAACTAATACCTACATATGTATTGGACAAACCATCTGCAGAAATGGATGTGACTCATCAACCTAAGTTATGCAACCTTACTCCTCAGTCACAACAATTACATGACTGTTCAGGAGTAAAGTTGGGTTCAGATGCACACCCAAACCCCTGAGTCAGTCTGTCTGTCTCTCATCAGTAGTTCTCCTGCCTTGTCAATATGAGGCATCATTTTGTTAGCCTAATTTAATTTAGAATTTAATCGTAATTCAAAATGTGTGTGCTTTCTTACAGGCTATGCAACTGAAAGGTGCCTTGTTTAACACAGAAGAGATGGTTCCAGCTTCCATGTGGAGTGGTTGTGAGTTCAGGACACAAAGGCAACTCATGTTAGAATTGGACAGCTCATTCCATCCGGTCTTATCATTTTCATCAGGTAGAGGGTTCCTTGCTATCATTTGTACACAGAGTACCGTTTTTGTTGATGGAATGCTGTAGCACTTAGAAATTTGAATCAAAAATATTTTGAGAAGTTTATTTATTGTAAAAAATCATTGCCAAAGAACTGCAGAAGACTCACATTTTCCTAGAATCTGCAGCTGTGTTCATAATCTTTTCAAACTGCTGTGTTACTGAGTTGGGAATCCCAGACCAAGCAAAACTCCCTAGTATGTTCACATAGCAGTTGTACAATACGTGTTTGCCATGGAAATGCAAATGTAACACTAGTGGACCTGTGGGAGGAATCTGGTTTGGGATGGGAATCTATCAGATTTTCTTTGCTTGGTTCCTCAGATTCTGGTCCACTTTCTCTCTGCTCTAAGTCCAACACAAACTGAGTAATTTTCATGGGCTTCTGGCTGGAATCAAGTCCAACTATTGTGTATGTATAACTAGCAAAGCTGGCTTGCATACACATTACTTCTGCACACATGGCTTGTGGGCTTTCTATACTTAGCAGGAGAATAATTAAGTGCTTGCTTTGCTGTTAGTCACGAAATCATGTCCGACCGATCGCAACCCCATGGACAACATTCCTCCAGGCCTTCCTGTCCTCCACCATCCCCCGGAGTCCACTCAAACTCACGCCAACTGCTCCAGTGACTCCATCCAGCCACCTCATCCTCTGCCGTCCCCTTCTTCTTTTGCCCTCAATCGTTCCCAGCATTAGGCTCTTCTCCAGGGAGTCCTTCCTTCTCATGAG